CCACCACTGCATACCCAAATGATTGTTGATAAGACTTTGCCACCTAATGGCAACCAAACTGTTCTGAGCCAACATCACCACCTCGTGGCCATAGTGGAGAATTGCCCTCCTTACCACTCAGCAATTTTTTCATCTTGAAAATGAACCAACCACCTTTTATATTCCCAGTGTTCATATCTAGTTACTTGAGGAAAATGTACATATGTTTGTAATTCATTTGTTTTTCACACTCTCCCTCTTTCCTCTCTCTGATTTCACTCCACTTAAAGGCCTAAAATATCAAACAAGGATAAAAATATATCTGATCATGTATTTTGACAAGAAAAAAAATATTTTAATTGAATAAACTATAATATATTAACCTATAAAATACTTAAAAGTTTCAAAGACTCTTCTGGAGTCAACATGAAAATATCTTAATCACTCTTCTTCACCTCAAAATTTTATTCTCCTTATTCAAGACATGTATCCAGTATCTTTATTCCATTTGATTTTACTTTCTAGTCACCAGTGCTACAGGAATATTACTGCCTCTTTTTTTTCCTCATTGAAAATATTAGACATTTCTAGTTTATATGGGCCAAACTCATATCACTGTGACAAATTCAGAGTATTTTCCCAATAGGTTAATGCAATCTGAGAAAATTTATTTTATCAGTAAATATAAAGACACTTTGTAAAAAAGGAAAGGAAAATGAAGAGGAAACAAAACCCATTTATAAGGTGGGGACTGCCAGTACACATTATACCTATGCATTAAAATGTTTTAATCATTCATGAGCACATGCAGTGCTTGGCAGCCAACTGAGACCCTTGGCCCACTGGCCTCTAAGTAACCTTCATTCTCCATATTCATCAGTGATAAGTTGACTTCTATATGCTGAAGTCAACCTTCTGGTGTTGGGGGTCTCTCTAGGACAGTTGTGTTACCAACAACATCAAATCCCAATAAAGTATGAATCAGATGTTAACTTTTTGTCATTTTAGATAGTACCTGAGAAGTATAGCAGCTTTTGAGTCTGGATTAGAAGACATCCACTCTTAACATAAGCTGCATGTACTAAATAATACAATTGGGCTCCTGTCCATTAACTCTCAGCAGTCAATGAAAGAGCAGTGGGGCAGAGCCGAGTGTCGGAGTAACAAAACACACAGGCTCCACTTCATGTTCTATATTTAATCAGTTCAATTCAGAACCTTACTGAGTTCAACATTTTTCTAAGTGGTGGGGGCATGAAGTTACAAAATATTTATAAGTATCCCTGTACTTAAGGAGAGTATAACTTATCATAAAAGCAATATCACAATGAGGCAAGTCCTGCTGCAATGCAATGGAGATCTAGTTGTTTAGGAATTTGGAGAAGGCTCCACACAGTCCACATGATACTTTGATTCATCTGTGGGATGGACCAATGTCCAATAAATACAAATTAAAAAGAGACTTAATAGTTCATAAAATTGATGTTTGGCTGGGTCCAATCTGTACTATTCAAGGAGAGGACATTCTCAACAGAAGAAAACAAGAGTCTTGCACATCCCTTTGGGTGGGGTGTTCAAATATGAAATTGCCGTGAAATGAACAGCTTCAGTGAGTTCCCACCACCCATTCTTGAACTCCATCATTAGTTGAGGCAACCACTGGAGCTATTGCTTTCACAGCCCTGTGCAATTCAAAGTAACAGACCCACAAGCATACAAACATATTGAGCCTGCCCTGACAAGAGTGCATATCCCACACATCACACAGGAAACTCTACTGGACACTTACCTCCATAGAGAAAGAGGCAGAGATGCAGGGCCAGGTCCCCCAGTCAAGTGCCACTTGAGTAGGAGGAAGCATGCAAACTGAGTAGCCACAGTGATATGGGATAGTTTTTCCATACCTTTTTCAGAAACCTATAACAACAGGATCCTGGATTTGGTTCTCTGAACTTTGCCACTTCTAGTTCTAACATACCTACATGAACCTGTATCTGCAGTTCCGTGGGAATTTATGAGGCTTGTGCAATTTTGAGCACCCTCCCCCTTTTTGTGGCTCTATTGCAGTCCTCAGAGAAAATATCACAGGCACAATTTTGACAAAGTCCTGCCCTTGAAAACCAGTAGTCAAATAAATGACGGTTATCAAGTCTTCAGGTGTGAGGACCTGTGGTGTTCAAGTGACCACTGTCTGTCCCGTATTTTCCCATAATCTGCCTCCGTCCCTGCCATCCTGACATGGCTTGACCTCTGCAAAACTGTTGTTGTGCTAGAGGACTAGATGTCAGAAACCTCAGCTGTCCCCTACTGTCCTGCTCTTTCTTCTGTTCCCCTCTACACAAGCCACATAAAGCATGTGGAAAGATTGAAAAACTACCCTCCTTATTAATGACGAACAAGTGAGAGTTTCTGGCAGGTGGCTGTTTCCATACATGGACTTGTGTCTTTTGGAAAACAAGAGTTCACTAACAGATAGCTGTGAATTTATGAAATGAATCAAGTGAAAGGACATACTGAGGGGATTATGCCCATGCTGCTCATCTATGTGGGTTCCTTCTCTTGCCCCAGGGGTCCCCAGTCTGTTCCCTGTGTTGTAGTCCTGTGTCACTTCCAGTGGTTGAGGACTTGCCACACAGCAGTAATTCATTCCTCCATGTTTAAGAATGCCACAACCTCACTCTGAAAACCACAAGATGGATGATGAAAAATAATCTTCAATGATGAAGTTCAGAGATCATCAGTGCTTCCAGAGCATTCCAGTACAGAACCCAGTGAATAGTTATGCTGTAGGAAATTAGCTTCCATTCAGACATACCAAAACCATGCCCACAGTTCAGAGAGTGTCCTGGCCAGATGGCACACCAACATTCCTTCCTCACTTGTCTCTTATACTCGTGGGCCAGCAGGATTTGCCCTCTTATCCCAGGTTCTAGGAGAAGTTTCAGAAGGCCACTGAGAAGTAGTGACCTTCTGAGTCTGGTCTTTGAAACCTTGTGGGAAGCACATTTAGAGAATCCCCCTCTACCTGGTTCCCCAAAATGCTCTTGCATGATCTAGGACCTCATGGAAAGAGGCACTCTCTTACTTCTGGGGTCTCAGAGTCCACAATGAGGACTGTGACTCATGTTCCAGCTCATTATTGCACTCACTCGTTTGTAAATTTGTTGTCCAGCGAGTGAATGGGAATGTCCTCGCAGTATAGCAGTTAGGCATGCAGGTGTTGGAACAGGCTGCCAGTTGGCCACTGTGTGAACCTTAGGCAAGATCTTCAACCTCTCTATGCCTGAGATTCCCCATCTGTCAAGAAAATAGGAGTTCCTCCCTTATAGAGGTGTGGAGAGCCCTGAATACCATGGTGTGAGTAAAGTGTGAGTAAAGTGCTATGTGCCTACCCTGGTTACATGCCATGAATGTTACTAAGGTGAGCTGAGCACGCTCCGTGTGTGGCGCTGCCAGGTGCACTTCCTCTTGCCATGCCAACTCACTGTCCTGAGCTAACTTCTCACTAAATCTTCGCTAAATGCTGACCACTAATTCCTTACTGTTAGGCCAAGTTTTATGGTTTTACAGATCCCATTTCATAGGTGTGGAAACTAAGTCACAGAGGAGTTAGGTGTGGAGCCAAGATTCTAAACCAGAATCTCTGATCCAAGAATCTCAACTCTACACTTCCAAATCAAAAAGAATGCATTGAATAAAAATAAAGCGTTACTAATTTATTTTTGAAAGCAGTTATCCTCAGACTTCACTGGACATCAACATTCCCTGAAGAGCTAAACCAATCCAGCCCATCCCATAGTATATAGTTTAGTGGGTCTTCTGTAGTAGAGTTTGCTTTTCTAACCAGTTCTCTGTGCTATTGATGCTACAGGTCCAGGGATCACATTTGAGAGCCACCAATTCAAAACATTGATCAAGCATTTTGTAGTGGTGACTGTCATCTGTCTCACTGATGATCTTACTTGGTAGAATATCCCTGTCCACCTTAACCTGTAGAAACCATGATGAAAGTGATGGCTGTCAGCATCACTGCTGTTGCCATAGTTGGATTTGTCCATTCACCCTCAGTTGGTATTTCAGAGGAATGCAAGCTAGAATCTCTTATTTTCTCCACCAAGAAAAAATATATCAATGACATAAATAATTACCCTCAGTGTGACTTAAAGGAAATAGTAAGTCAGAGTACATGGTGGCCATTGACACTTTCAACACCAGCCCTTCACCTCCCACATGTCCTTCTTTTAGAAAAGTTGTTCTAGATCTCTTGCATTCATATACTACCACAGTCTACTCTCTAGCAGGTGGAAGGAATGTGATAAATCATACAGCAAATCATTGTTAGGACACTGGTTTCATTATCATTGCAAAATGAAAAGGTGCTAGAATGAGCATGTAACAAAGAAACAGAAACATTTCAAGAAATCTGTGATGAGACATCTAAGTATATGTCTGCTGAGTGTTGTCCCCAGATTCATTAATACATGAAAAACAGGAAGTGCTCATTGTAAGAGAAGTTGTCAGGTTTGAGAACCACTTACAAGGGATGTTGCCATATATGGCCACACGGCCCAGCCCGGGAGTTGGGTTATATAGGCAGTGCCCACCTCTGGTGTGAGACTGTCACCTGGAGGACAGGGGGGCAGGTTCCACCTGCAGTCACTCCAGAGACACCATAAGCCTATAGCTGAGCAGCCAGTGACTGTTCCCTGTGCGGAGCAGAGGCCCCTCACGCCAACATGAGCTTTTATAAATAGCACCCTCATGCATTCTCAGACATTGCCTCCTGGACCTATGCAGAGCCAGGCAACTTGTCCCAAGCCTGCCGTACCTCCCACACATGCCCTCAAAGCCCAGGTAGCCTCCACATCTCAATCTAGGTCTCTGTCCCCGGGGTATAAATTTCTGGTCAGGGGCTCTTCACTTGTACTTGGTTGTCTTTTTGCTGCTGTGCTGTTTTGCTTTTTTTTTTTTTTTTTTTTTTTTGCATGACACTGAGTGGCACCCTGTATTGTTTCTTTCAGCCAGTAATGTTAAAGTAGAGACTCAGAGTGATGAAGAGAATGGGCGTGCCTGTGAAATGAATGGGGAAGAATGTGCAGAGGATTTACGAATGCTTGATGCCTCAGGAGAGAAAATGAATGGCTCCCACAGTGGCCAAGGCAGCAAAGCTTTGTCAGGAGCTGGAGGCATCCGACTTCCTAACGGCAAACTAAAGTGTGATATCTGTGGGATAATTTGCATCGGTCCCAATGTGCTCATGGTCCACAAAAGAAGCCACACTGGTAAGGCCTGGCGTAGTTCCCCCTTTAGTGGACTGGAAAAGTTTGTGGGGTGTTGCAGCAGGTAAATATTGTGTCTTAGTTGATGTTCTGAGCATGTTTCAGGAGAACTTAGCAGTACAGCAGTGATTCCAAGTCCTAGTTAAGTATAGAGTGCTTATTCTAGAACAACATAGAAAAAAAAAAGACATTTTAAATGCACCAGTTCAGCCTTAAAGATTAAAGCAATAGACAGAAAGGAAAAGGCAACAGCCTCATATGCGAATCCTCTCCAGGCCTGCGGTCCAGCATCAGTAGATGGTATGCGCTTGGTGGATTTCCCTTCAGGAAGTAAAATAAAAGAAACACAACAAGAGATCTGTACTAGACAATGTGATCCTCACGTTCTCCATCGGGAAAGCCTGAGTAAAACATGTATTTTTTTTTGTATTCAAACTATCAAGGATTGATTTTTAGAAACATAAATAAATGATGGAGTGACAGCAAAATTTAGTCTTGTGGAAAGAATTTAAGTCAGCTTTCACATTAAACAAGATTATTTAACTACTACTAGTTTTCATCTCCATTGGCATAGAATTTAATACCAAAACCCTTGTCTTTTTTGGAAAGTATACCAGGGGTTTGGGAAATTTAAAAGAATATCCTCCCTGAAAGTAAAGGAGTGAGGACAACCCGGTGTCTGATGATGATGGTCAGACAGTACTCTCACGTCGGAGGCAGCGTGGGGAATGGACACTTACTTCTGCCACCCCATGTATTTGGTCCTGACTATTGACCAATCACAGACTTTCCACCAGAACTATTGAGTCACTGCCACTGGCACTAGACAGCCTTTGAAGTGAAATATTAATGAGATGCATTTTACCTTTAAATATATGTATGAGGAATTGAACTACAGCTTTACTCTTCTGCCTAGCAGTGAACAAAACAATAAATTCATTGAGACTTTGAACATAGCACATAGAAACCTTGAGCCATCACTCTCTGGAGAGTGGCCTGGGAGTCACAATAAACCTGGTGTCTGCCACCACACCTCACAGGAGGGAGAAACAAGATGGATATCACACTGTGACCTTTTGTAAGATGTCTCAGGAAAGGGACAGCGAAGATTTGAAAATCACAGCCCTCTGTCATTCTTACATGAGGCCAAACAGATACATGGTTATCAAAGATTATAAATCAGAGATTCAGAAAATTTGTTGAGCTTTTAAAAACTGGCTGTTGGGGAATGCAGATCTTTGTGGAACTGTAATTTTTATGTTTGAATAAGACCAGTTTCCAAAATTATCCAATACATCTGGAAAACCGTAAAATTAATTTTCAGTAAAAATTTTATTTCTCACTTACAAAATTAAGCAAGTTTTGCTTCTCCTAACGTGCCCCCTCTTCATCCTAAAGTCATCCAGTGAAATAGACCCTTCACATCCAGCCCTCAGGAAAGCTGCAAGAGAATAGTTACAGTCTCCCCTTCCATAATGAGGTGGAAATTAAAATGAAGGTAGGATACCTTGTGATGGACACTTAACAGAATATGCCAGGACCCATGTTAATACATTCCTGATGGAGGAAAAGACCTCATAAATGAATTACTTTCCTGCTAATTCATGTAAAGCCTGACTATACAGAGAAAATTCTCTTAAATAAATATTTGATAAATGAATCAAATTCTGGCATACTAAATTGCCAAAATATAATGACTCCCTGCTCTGATAAAAAAGAATAATTACATTTAATGAATAAACCTGCGAAGCACAGATATGCAGAGTGAAACCTGCGGTTTGCTGCCCACTTGTCCCCACAAATAGCAGCCAATATGTTGAGTCCTTCATTTGCAGAGCTAGTAAATTGCAGAAATAAGGACCTGCCTTGATGTTTATCTTTTAGAAAACAAAATACTTAAAACAATGAACTCACAGGTTGTCTTCCTAACATATATTCACTTGCATAAATAGAAAGGGCCATAGGGAGAAAGAGACCATTAGCCACCAGGGTTAAATAATTGGACATGAGAGAAAGATTTCAGTTTCCTGGGATCTGAGTGGAAGAGGTTAGGAAAGGCATATTTTGTTTATCTACCAACCTCACCCTGAATTCTCTAAGTTTAAAATGGTTCTACAGCAGTACTTCCCCACACTTTAAAGGGCAAATATGTCACTTAAGGCTCCTATGGAAATGCCGATTCTAATGCAGAGGGATCCAAGCACCAGCTGATGGCAGGACACATGGTCGAGTAACCAACTGTCTAACAGCGTCACTGAAGAGTGCTCTTCAGCTGACTTCTCCCTGTTGACAGAGCTTACTCCTGCAAGTTTCCAAGGGAGGTGGGTGCCCACGCTTGCCTCTACCACTGCTCATGTCAGCATCCTGATGAGGGGCCATCAATACCATTTCCTTATTGGCTCATTGACACCACCACTCTCCTAACTTTGCTGTTTAATTTCATACTTGAACTCAAGGGTAACAGTAATGCTGTCCCCGTCAATTTAATATAAGATTCAGAGGGGAGAGTGTATGAAAGAAGCTTGAAATGCAAGAAAAACCCCACCCTGCAAATATGCAGCATTAATGTTCTAAGAGACAGGATTTTTTAAAATAAAGTGTCTAAATTATGGTCATTCTGTAGAGTTCTGCACCTGCTCTGTGCAGGGCACAGACACCTTTGGTCAAAAGCAGCGTCATGGAATATTATGTTCATTGTGCTCTTTCTCCAAGGTACAGTTTCAACAGGCCCAGGCCAGTTCTTGCAATTCTGGTATTTGTTTAAATTCATCTTCTTCTGAAAACTCACAAATGTTATGATATGGACATCCCTGGAGATTTACTTTTTTACTCAATTAAGTTATTAAAAGGGATTCAAATATTCTTAAAGAGCCCTCCTGAAACAACTGATTTGTAGTCACTGGGATTAAAAACTAAAATCTTGAATGAATGATAGTTAAAGTTCTTATGCCACTTAAATAAAAGGAAATAGATAGTTGGTAAAACTTGATCTTACTTAGTCACAATAAACAAGCCATTGACCTGCAGGAAGCAAACAACTGACCAACAGAAAAACCCAGATAGCATGGTCTGGGTCCGTCCTCAGCTCCAGACTGAGCACTCTTTCCCACAGACCTCCCTGAAAGGAAACCCCCTTGATTGGAGCTCTGTTGTCACTTCAGCGAGTGCTCTCCTCCAGTTCCCTTGGTCTGTGTTACTTATTCAGAAACAAACAAACAAAAATTCCAAGAACACTTGCTTGCTGCATTCAAACACCAGCACAGCAGGACACCCCAACTGTTGACTCAAGTTAGAGGACGGACTTCACTCTCGAAACAGCCATCTTTCTCTCTTTCATAGCCAGTTCTTCAAGAGGGGAAGGGAGACATGACTGTAACGAATTGTCCCCTCATGACTATTGCAGAGACATTGTCTGGACTGCAAGTTCCCACCTGGGTTTTTCCGCCAGACCCCTGGCCTCGGAGAAAGAGGGGAGCCCAGCTCTCCCAGTGTAGGGCTGTCACTCTAGATTTGAGTCAGAGCAGTACACATTTGTGTCACTAGGCGTGTCCCACATCCTTACCATAAACATTCTTACGGTGTGAGTTTGTCCATCTGACCCACCATTTTGCAGTTTAACCTGTGAAAGGGAGAGAGTCTTATCGGACACACACCAGAGCTTTGCACACACAGTCTCTGCTCTACTTTTCGTTTCTCTTGGTCCCATAGAATTAAAAAGTGCATGGAGATTTCAACTGAGATGAAAACATGCACAAAATGAAGAATGATGTAAAAAATAAATAAATTATTAAAAAAAAAAAGCCATGTGAGCCATGAAGGCACAGTGCTTCTACTATACAATTAAAAGATCTGTTCAGACTCTGACAAAGATGACTACCATTTATTTTAATTACTCATCTCATGTGGGCTTGTAAGCAAAGATTTAAGTAGTTTTATCATCACCATCCCACCTGCTTAACTTTAAAACCTTCCTTTGTTCGGCCAGATGTAGAATTGGGAAAATACTGAATTTATCCTGACCTATAACAAGACCACTCCCGTTGGTCTGTCACTAAATATCATTGTAAATTAGTTTCAGTTTTTACATTAGCACATCTGTCCTGAACTTGAAAACAAAAAGATAATCATGCAATTCAGTGTCCAGTGTAGACTTTTTAATCTAATTGGATGTAGATACTAATAGAACCAAATATATTTCTACTTAATTGCTCTTGATTAGTGCTGTCTTATTTGCCAAAATCATGTTCATCAATTGAGAAAATTATTAAATGTTCATTTTAACACATTCATCATTCCTAAGAAATAATTGTTACTAGGAAATGCATTCTCATGTTATCTCAACACCAGAGGTTGTAGTCATGTAGATATTTCTCTTTGGAAAAAAAAAGGTTTATTTTTAAAAGAGCTTTAACATTTACTTAAATGTAACAAATGTATCATTCTTTTCTATCGAAGAAGTCAATGAACTATTTATCTACTCAGAGTCTAAGACCAATGACTGCTCAATAGAATATTTTTCTCAGATACCTGTTTATCCCCTTATCTATATCCAGAATGTAGAAACATGAACTGTCACACACAGCAGAGGCTCAGATGATTTCTTAGACACAAATCCAATAACAGCACTCTAGAAAGAATTCCTAACAATGGCTAAATTGCATCTCTTAGAATGTTTGTCCTGAAAATAGATCTCACCTCCAATAGCTGTAGAAAATAATAGTTAAAATTTGGGGGATTTATGACAGCAAAAACCAAGAAGCAGGAATCTCAACGCAGGTCTTATTCTTAAACCTGGGAGACTGGGGACTGTTCTTCGGATGATCGGGAGTGGGGCACTTCCTTCAGTTTCTTACCTTCCCATTTTATTCAATCAATACCTCTCCCTCCCCCCTCCTCTCCCTCTCCTTTCTCCACCCCTCCCTCTCCCTCTCCTTTTCCCTCTCTCTCCCTCACAATCTCTCTGTCTGTCTCTTTCCTGATTTGCCTGCTTAGGGACAGACAGGTAATGGAGAAGAAATTGAAAGGGAAAATACAGGGAAAATGTAAATGAAAAGAAGTTATTATAACTGTTATAATGAAGTGCCTTTCATTTAAATATAAGAATGTAACGCTGAAATGAACTTGTGATCCTGAAATGCATTTTTAATGAGTTTCCTTTTTATTTTGCTGCTTCAGTGGCATATTTTAAAGACCCTTTGAAAAAAGCCACATTAAAAACCCCACCAAATGCCACAACACGCAAAATTGGATATTGGTTTATTCCAAAACTGCTGATCAGGAAGAGTGGCTCTTCATCACAAAATGTTGCAGTCACTTTATTTAAATGAGTTTGAATTTGCATTGTGATGTGCCATTCTGATTTAGGGAAAAAAAATTAGATTTTCAGATCAAATTGACCCAACCACTGAAGCGTTAAGGAGCTGGCAGGTTTAGTCTGAAAGCCTCATGTTCTATCAAACCTGCAGCCGGTGGAAGTCACCGGCCCCCGTGGGAAACAACTTTCTCGCCTGTGTGTCCTCTTGTCCCCTACGCTGAGTTTTGTTCTCAGGGACTCTCCCTCTCCTCTTCACAGGAGAACGGCCTTTCCAGTGCAATCAGTGTGGGGCTTCTTTCACTCAGAAAGGCAACCTGCTCCGGCACATCAAGTTACACTCTGGGGAGAAGCCTTTCAAGTGCCACCTCTGCAACTACGCATGCCGCAGGAGGGACGCCCTCACGGGCCACCTGAGGACACACTCCGGTAGGTCCTGCGGGCACAGGCAGGGTTCCAGAGACTCCGAAGTCCAAGGGGAGACCGGGCCACATGTGGTGTGTGTTCCGGAGTTTCCTGATGGCCACCCTCATCCCAGGGTAGAACCCTCCATCAGGCACTGGTCACCCTGACTGGCATCATACCCCTCCCCTATATTTTCTGATCTCCCAATAAACAGAGGAAGTGGCTGGTGAATTCACACACACACACACACACACACACACACACAAACACGCACAACTGAGATATCACCTCTGGTAAGTAGAGTATTTCGAAGAGACCTCCCATCCCATTTATGTGGGAATTTTTATTTAAAGGTTTAGTTTTGCATACAGACTGGGGTACAGGCTAGAGGTGCAGGGACAGTAAGAGGATTCACCAGAGACAGAGTGGGGAGCAGCACAAGCAGATCTACTGAAATACACTGCTGAGGGGAGCAGCGGGCAGGTCAGGAGAGGTCTGCCACACCATATGGATCACCTCCGTGGCAGGGATCAAACTCATACTGAAGTGGTTTTAGCCTCTTAATGCTGTGTTTTAACCCGCTGCGCCACAGGGAGGGCCCTTAAGTGGGAAATTTTTAAGAGGTTTTACCAGCTAAGGTTTATTCAGTATACTGCTAATGCCCCAGAAGTTTCCACATACATTTCTTTATGTTAATGTTGAGCCACAGTTAATATTCTTTTGTATTTGGTTGTGGTCATTGGAACAGTTTTCTCTGCAAAGGTGGCAGCAAGTCAATCTGGGACCTATTTCCAGAGACTATCACCCCAGTAGGCCCGAGAGTAACTCTCCCATCAGAAGCCAGGGCGGGACTGGAGAAGTCAGTGTAGAGCTACTACACATTTTAATAACTGCATTCCAGATAATCCAGAGTCGCAGCTACAGGCTCATAATTAGCTTGAATGCTCAGCAATTCTGGAAACACTCCTCACTGAGAACCCCAAATACACCACTGTTTAAAGATCCTCTACTCCTGACAGCCCTTCTTCCGTTTTTCATTACCGAGAAGCCCCATAATCTTACAGAAATATTTCAATGTCTTCATAGAAGAACTGGGGTGTAGGATAGAGATGCAGTGGGTGAGAGGATTCACCAGAGACAGAGTGGGGAGCAGAAAAGGCAGCTCTACTGAAAAGCACTGCTGAGGGGAGCAGCAGGCGAGACAAAAGTCTCCCTAGCAGTGGATCAAACTCAGGCATTAGCAGTGATAGTGCTGAGACTTAACCCCTAAGCCACCAGGAAGGCCCTTACAAGAAACTTAAGGGAAGAAAGTTTGAACCTGATGGTCAGACACACACTGCGGTGGGGGGAAACTGGGGAGAGATCAATGGGGCCCTTGCCCTTGCCCTTGGGGAGTTCACTGTCCATGTTGGTCCTCATGGACTGCTCTGAACAGGTCATGGGAAAAAAAGATGCTGCAGACTTCTTCCCACATCTATAGAGTAGCAGATGGGGGGCACCTCCCATGAGGAGGCGGGACCCTCTGACCTTGGGGAAAGCTTCAGCTGTGCTCAGGTCTCCTTGTTCCCAGATGCCATGAGTGTTGACAGTGTCTGGGTTTTTAGAGGCCCCTTCCTCATATCTGTTACCCATTGAAGGAACATCCAAGGGAATTCGTTCTCTGGTGGGGGAGCCTGGGGCACATAGCTGAGTGCCCATGTGTCAGTGTTGCGACAGTGTCAGAGGGTATAGGGAGGCAAACTTCAGTCTCCAGAGTGGGAGGCTACAGGAGAGCCCCACCCGCCATTACAAAGAGAGCTGGCATCCATGCTCCATGCTAAAAGGTGAGTTTCTCAGGTTTACCTTCAGAAAAGCTCCAGATGAATGTGTAGTTCTGCAAATGATCCTAGACTAGGGTGAGGTGCACACTTAAGCAAGAGCTGTGGAAAACTTAGACTTTCTCCTACAAGTGGCACCTGCAAAAAATTAAACAGGAGAAGGAGGGAGAGAAGTAGCAGGGCCCTGGAAGCATTAGGTCTCTCATAGGTTTGACCAGCCCACCTCCTCTGTATTCTATCACTTTCCTGAGAGTAAACATGTAGAAGGCTCCCCAGATACTCCTAATTTGAAAACTACCATGATTCGGGTGGATTCCTTAAAATCTCCCCAGAGGGCCCTCCCTGGTGGCACAACAGGTTAGGATACAGCACTGCAAGCTAGCGACAGCTGCTTCAGTGTGAGTTTGATCCCCACCCTGGAGGTGATCCACATGGCACTGCAGACCTCCCCTGACCTGGCCACTGCTCCCCTCAGCAGTGTACTTCATCAGTTGGCCTGTTCTGCTGCCCACTCTGTCTCTGGTGAAGCCTCTCACTATCCCTACACCTCTGGCTTGTACCCCAGTTCTGTATGCATAAATAAATAAATATTAAAAATATTTCTTAAAAATAACTCCCAGAAAGGAGCCATGCAAATTTGAGCAGGTACTCCTTCCATTGAGAAGACAGGTTATCAACAGTGACAGTGGGACCAATGCCACCCCCTCTCTATCAGGGGCAGGACATTTTCATGCTGGGTTGCCTTTGCTGCAGTGCCAGGGAGAACAGGTGATTTCCCCCTAAGTGAGACAATGACAATACAATTTTTTTTATATTTACATGTGCCAGTAACGAGAGGCAGGTATATTGTCCCACTTAGAGATTAAGGTGGTGTTAGAACTAAATGAAAAACAAGATTTATGTAGTTGTCAGCCATGACCACCACACAGGCTGCGTGCAAGGCCTAACACATCCTGTACAATGATAGTGACACTGCATTATGGTTGGGCCAAGGTCCTTTATCCCAGACAAGTGGAAAACACAGTGACTCACCCTTTGCTTGACACCAACTGTATCATCGACATCCCCAGATCACTCTACCTTGCAACAGAAATGTCGCCTTCATTATCAGTCCTCAAAACTTAAGTGACTCCAAGCTATTCTCTTTTCTTTCCTGTTGTGAAGCTAGGAACATCTAGTGCAGCGTTTCATGTAATTCTGGCTTCTGCAGTCTTCAGGTATCTTACAGTGTGAATAGCTAGTTACTTGAGTAATTGTACATAGTAGAAGGCAAAGTTTGAACCGTTTCTATCTATTATGGATCCACCAATGAACACGTGGGTAGTAAGAAAAACATCATTGAGCTAGTGATTCTTTAGAAGTTGCAGGCTAAGCTAAAGACTGTTACATAAGGAATATCAGGCTATGTTTCAAGTTGTAATTCAGTTCCATTGTTTACAGTGAATGTATTTCTTATGGCCCACAGTGAAAATCAGTTTGTCAGAAATTTGTCAAAGTTAAAACATAACCAGGAAAGGGCATTAAGTCTTTCTGTATTCCATTAATTTCTAAAGACAATACTCAAAAAATATACAAACTTTGGTAGCATATATATTTCAACATCATTTCCTGGCATGGATACAATACTTTCTCCAGATTCCTCTGATATCAAAATGTTTGTTTTTCATTAAGTTTTCTGTTCACCTAAGAAAGAGATTAGGTTTTTAGTTAAATCATTTTAGCAACATTCCCATGTGGATAATCGTGAAATCTAACAACATGAAAAGGAAGGACATTTTGGTCGCACGGTAGAAATTTATAAGTCACTGAAGATATTTTATTCATCTAATCTCTTAAAATTCTATCTCATAAAGTCTTTACATTTAAGCATGCTGTGAATTTAGTTGGCCTTCTTTAACACTGAACAAAATTCAAGAAGGACTAAACTCGTTTTACTGAGCTGTGCTACCCAATACAGTAGCCACAAGCCACATGTGATATTTAAATTTAAATTAATTAAAATGAAGACATTGATTCTTATTGACCCTGGTTATGTTTTGGTGCTCAGAAGCTCCAAATAACTGATGGTCACCATCTTGACAGTACATGAATGCAATATTGACATGAGAGAGAAATCCTTGCATCCTGGGGCAAATTCTGTTGGAAGCTGACTGCAGAGTTAAGCTATCTCAATGTTCTTTGGGAAGAAAACAGAACCTCTGACAAGTTAGAACCACAAAATACATTCAGGAAATAAAATGTGTATTAAGTATATTTATCCACCATAAGTTCTTAAAAACCTTAAATTACCAAGTTTAGCACTTTAGGATTTATTAATTCATTTTCGTGATGTTAGAGCTAGTGTTGATGTCCAGGCTGACCCAGCCACAGAGTAGAAATGCTAAGTTTCTGTGTTCTCCAGTCACCATGAACCTTCCTCCTCTTTCTGCCTAGTTGTGCAGTGTCCACGTGAAAGTACTGTGGGAGTTTGATTCCTGCAGTGAAAGGATGCGTTTAGTGTCTTCACTAGGAAAATAATTTGGCAGTCAAAATAGTGGGCAAAGTTAAAATTAAACAAGACTTATAAGAGTTGTTGGCACAATCAGAAACACTTGGGCATAATAATTTTAAATTTAATAATTTTGACTGACTTTTAACTCTCAAGATTAGAGTGTTTTCTTGCACTTTTTGGTAATAATGATATTGTATGCTTTCCCACTACATAGTAAGACTGATGTTTAATTGGGATCTTGAACTCAATTGTGTTTTCTGCAGTTGGGAAACCTCACAAATGTGGATATTGTGGCCGAAGCTATAAACAGCGAAGCTCTTTAGAAGAACATAAAGAGCGTTGCCACAACTACTTGCAAAGCATGGGTCTTCCTTCTACACTGTACCAAGGTAAGCCCTGAGAGCACGTGGCAGGTCTGGCCCTCACTGTGCCTCCCCAGTTCAGATGAAGAAGGGCCTTCAGTATTGTCCCTGAGAGAAAATACAGCTGCTGAATTTACTGGGCGTGAAGGGGAGCTTTTAGCCACTAAAATCATATTTCACTAGAGGCCCACAGAGCTTTCCAATTTTTAAATCCTATTCTCGCCTTAGAGTACTTGCTTTGAAAGCTTCCCCACTGCCCCCCCACCCCCACCTTACTATCTGAGGAAGCTTCCAATAGTGACCCTTGGATTTTGGGGTTTTCTTATATTTTGAATATTAATTGCTTCTTTGTGCTTAGTAATCAAAATAAGACGAGAAATCTTTTTTCAAAAGCATTTTTATGTGTGTATAATTGACCAAATAAGAGTTTTCAGGCTGCATTTTCCCTCATCAGTTTCAGCACCACCTACAACATGAGAGTGAGCTTGTTGGGAAAGCTGACAGGTAATAGTGTTGAGCCTGTCACAAGATTCAAGGAAAGCTTGTTTTTTTGTTTTTTATGAGTTTTGATGTTTCTTGGTATATTGCATCATGAGATAGCACTTGACTCTAATTTTAGATAATGTAAAGTGAAAGATGTAGAGAAAGTGTTGAGGAGACTGAATTCTCTCAGAGGGGTTGCAGTGTTAAAAAGAGCATCTTTCTAACTTTTTAAGACACAAGACATTTATAAATAAAAAGCCAGTCTCTTTTAAAATACTGCATTTGGCATTACCCCTGGAAAAGTCATGTTTGGATTAAGGGGTAGAAGTTGAGATAAGTTGATAAATTATCAAGCCCCATTCAGTTTTCTGACTTTAATAAATGAAAGAAAGTGACCACCAGGGAATACTCATATTTTTTAAAATTTTATTATTTAGATTTTTATCATTTTAAAGTATGCTTAAACATAGAATTTGATCATTGGCATTAAGTGCATTCAGGAACACTCCAATTATTAATGGCTGATGGACGTGCAGAGAATGGCCAGGAGTTTCAGCCCCAAAAAGCAACATGTCACATGACCAAAGCACTGTCTGGTCAACTACTGGTCTGGGGACTGACAGTTGATTCCACTGGGCCTTGCTCTTCTTGGAAATCCCATTTCAATTATCATTTAGCTGCCCTCAAAGTCTAAGGTCTAATTTCAGAATGGAAAGCTACTGCCAGTAGAGGAGGGACAAGTAGATATTTAAATAATAAAAATAGCAGTAACAACTTTGCAATTACCAATTTGGGGGATAATTGAAGACAGATGAGTGGATGACAGTGTTCTTTTAAAATAGAAGGGATCATGCTTAGTGAAATAAGTCAGAAGGAAAAAGGAAAATAATGCATGGTTTCACTTTTAGGAAGAATATAAGGGAATCAATTAAGGGGTCAAGAAAAAATTAAGAAAATAAAATAACAGGCAACTATAAGAGGCATTCTACAGAGGAAGGAGAACAATCTAATCAGGGGAAGGAAAAGCACAGGCACTATGGTGATGGTGCTCAGGGGCTACACTTGAGAAGAGAAAATAAATATTGTCCAAAAATGAACAATGATGTAAATATATATATATAAACAATTTTAAGTAAGCAAAAAAGTAAATGAAATTTAAACACTCAAATAATATATATTTTTGTGAAAAATAAGTTAATAGATATAAGAAGTAAGTGCTCTGACCTGTGTTTAAATGTCATTTTTCCATTGGACAACTATTAAATGAGGACCTATTAACTCTAATTCCAAGCCCTACTGAATATAATAATCTGAATTTCCCCATGGAATGAGAAGACAAAACTGAGCAGAGGCAGAAAATGAACTTGGTTTTCTCTACTGTTTTTATGAATAATAATCAAGCCATAGCAGGCTGAGGCTAAGGGATTCTTCCACTGAAATCTCAGTTCTGGTTTCATCTCTGAATCTGTGTTGAAAATGTGACCCTGAATTCATCTCCTAAATGGAGTGATAGTTCCTGGTTGACCAGCTGGAAAAAAAAAAAAAACTGCTCTGAGAGAAACACGAGAGGAATAGATGTCAGACAAGCATCCAGATATCAGACAAGCATCCAGATTGGTGTTACCAAACACACAGCCCCCCTCTATGTCCAAGTCAATAAGCTTATATGTCAGATTTTTTGGTAAATATCATTCTGTGGTAAGAATGCATTTAATCCTAAAATATTAATGTATTCCCTTTGGTGATCAAATGATTGTAAACACAAAAATAACGTCTTCACATTTCTGTGCATAAGTGCTAGTTGAAGGAACTTGGAGTGTCAAGGGAGCCCATAAAGCACCTTTCAGGAGCTTTACACCACTACATCTGGGATTTGGAGGGCAGGCCCTGCCTAGCGAGCCTTGGTCACTTAGTCTTGCTGTGCTGGGGCTGGGTGAGCCTGTGTCTTCTCTGGGGTTCTCATCTCTATCCTTCCCATGTCCCCCAAAGTACTACCCCAGAACTAAGACAGATGTTCACTCAGCCTTTCCCTCTCAGTCCCTCTTAGGTTAGGTCCATCCTTTCATATTAGGTAAAAAACAAAACCAAACTAAGATTGTAGGATGTGGGAAAGATTGATTTTTTTCTGAATGCATTTTTATTTAGTGAAATACTTTTTGGCCATCTATTGTAATTTTCTAATGCCCTATGGAAAAGTAAGTTTCTCTTGTGCCTTGGGTGCACAGATTATGTTACAAGCCACTAGAGGAAAATGCATCAGAGGACAGATCACCAGGGATTGGGAGCATGGAGCTCCTTTGTCACTCCCTGTGAGAATGCTGAAGGCCTTGAATGTCAGGAGGCCCAGTAGCCTTGAGGAAGCAGACCTGCTGGCTGTCATAGCACCCCATTGCAAAGACAGATAGACATATCATAAAGCATGTTAGCTTGATAGATCAAAAGTGCAACCAGTGGAATTGGGTTTGAAGGATTTTATTTGCATCCTTCGTATTATCGGGTATAGGTTATTATGCATGCCCATTTAATCAGACACCCACATATCCAGTGTTCAAAATTACACTTATCAATAATAACTAATGCGTACCATACTTTCAAATTATCAGTCATAATAGCAGTGAAGACAAGCTATTTAGAATTAATCTTAGCAGATAATGGGAAGAAAATGGTATACAGAGATACCAAACCATCCTGAAACAAGAAAGAAAATGTCAGTCTTTAAGGAAGAGATTGAAGAGGGAGAGAAGAGTGGTCATATGTGTCTTCCAAACCAGGACTAACATAAAAGTAGTCTACAAATCTTGTTGGAATTTGATGACCATATACCAGAAAGTGAATACATTTATTTGTAAAAATAAATGAAGGACATGGCTTTCTCTTATAAGAATAATGTTTAGGTTATATTAAAATGTAGCTTTAATATGGAATTTATGGGTGACTAGACAGACAAATCAATATCAGATGTAGATAAAACTTCCAAAAGTTATGTAACACACCACATGTCTTATGTGAGAAAGGAGGACACATATACCAGTGGAACTGAAATGGACTATTCAGGAACAGTATTGAAAGAATTTATTACCTATTTGGAAGGTAATCAGTTTACATGTCTAGTTCCTCTTTTATTAGGATAAATTGCAGGGAGATGAAAGAGTTATAGTTCCAAATAATAGTTCAATAATAAAAACTAAATTGTAGACAAGACTGCAATATGTAAAATTGTGTCTCAATTATAGAAAGGAAGTCACCAAGATAAACTAACAAGAACCTGTACCTCAGCATTTATTGCCACATTTGTTTTCTACAATATACAGATGGTATTTGATTTCCAGCCTGCTCTGTGTTCAGGGATAAGGAGCTCTGAGGTCATCTCCCACCATGACCTGTATGCTGTAGCATCAGAGCAGCTATGTTTCTTTCTGCATCACAGTTTACTAAGCAGAGGCTGTAGTCAAGCCCTTCTTAGAGGGCTGTTGTTAGGCTTGAGTTAGTAGATTTGGGAATATTTGGAAAAGTGAAGGGGATCTGTCATAGGGTCACAATTAATTACAGTCCAGCTTCTGGTGATAGTATCAGGGTTTGTCCCTTTGAACTTGAGGACTGGCATGTAGCAAACAGATGTCCTTAGCAGGTGGACTATCTTTGTCTTTGCTACCTCTTGTTCAGCCTCTGTCTGGAAGCTTTGCTAGAAAGATTAGAAATAATCTGTACAAAGGGCCTGGCTCTTATAAGCATTTAACAAATGTCAGATTTAACCTTGGACACAACTGAACCCTTTCACCATAAGCATTTCTAAACTGGACTCTCTGTCTTTAACTTTAGTCATGAAAGAAGAAAATAATCACAGTGAAATGGCAGAAGACCTGTGCAAGATAGGATCAGAGAGATCCCTCGTGCTGGACAGACTAGCAAGTAACGTCGCCAAACGTAAGAGCTCTATGCCTCAGAAATTTGTTGGTAAGAGTTAAACGTTTGCTGTCTCTTAAAAAAAATAAATATGTGGATTTTATAGACTCAGGATGTCATTAGTTGAGAGTAGAAGAAAGAAAGAATCCTTCAGTATTTAGAAAGCAAAATTGATAAGCTTACAATTTCTTAAATATCTAGGAATTTTTCCAGGAAATCTACTGAAAATACCATATCTATGTCTTTAGCAATTCTCCCTAGATGTGGTGCTACACATCTGAGCATTCAGTGGCACCTACATGCAGATGGCAGGGTCAGCATACATAAGGTAGAGCCATAGACCTGCTCAACAGGGCACACACACACACACACACACACACACCATAGACACCTCCTCCCCAAGCAGCCTCCAGGTTTCAGATCCTTGTTTTTCACAGGAAGCTCATAGCACTCCCCATATGGAACACTTTGAAGACCTAACAGGCAGAATGGCACATAAGTTCACCTAAGGAAGTGCCCAGTGAAGAGATTGCTGTCATGACTGTTGAATCTCTACCTGTGCCAAGAACTACAAGGGACAAAAGGAAAAGTGAGGGGACCCTTCCCTCTGTGAGCTTGTCTAGTGTAGGTGGTAAACAAATATGCCAATAACCATCAGCCAGGCCAAACATCCAAGTATAAGAATGATGACAACTACACAGTTGGAAGAGTAAGAACTCACTAAGAGTGGCATACAGACCTACAGAGAACACTGTCACTTGAAAAAAATTGTTGAGCTTCTCCTAGCCCTGGTTCCATTCTTTATGTAGCTCACAGAATTTTGTGATGAAAAATGGATATCTAATATCAGAGGTATCATATCTAGGAAAAGGTACCATAAAGGAAAGGTCTCTAGAAGGTCATTGGTCACTCCAGAGGATGGTATCACAGGGAAAAGGTGTGCTGTCCACAGAAGAGACTCATAGAAGGAGAGTCATATCCAGAGAAAAGAATCATAGGGAGAATATCATGTCCAGCAAAAAGAATCAGTAAAAGCTTTGTGAAGCTAATTGTGTATGGTGGAATAGCTTTCAGCACAGTAAAGGTGGTAGAGAAAAAGGAGACTATAGACAAATAGACGAAAATAGAGATGGTGATGTTGGTTTTTATGACTGGAGAGGAATGTGGACTAACTTAGATGCACATGGAGATGTTCCAGCAAGTTCTGGCCACAGAATGAATAGCCTTTGAATATCAAGGTGAAAGATATGTCTATAATTCAGTAAGCAGAATAAACCATTGACTTGGGCTTTTTTGAAGCAACATCTTGGAAATTAGGATGACAGAAAGAGTCAACAATCAGTTGAAAGAGAAAAAGGGACTGGACAGTGGTGGCACTTATAGGAAGATGGCCTGGAGGTGGAAGAGGCATGTGAGGTCAGTGTGGGGAGGGAGTGATAACCACTGAATTCTGGAGATTCTGGTGGAGTAGTATGCTGTTCACAGCCAGGCTCTGGAGAAAGAGTTCTGATTTGATTTGGTAATTTTTGAGGACTTCCTGGTGTAGATGCTAACCTCAGAGACGGAGAACTATGTATTGGGGAGGAATTTTTCTAGAATGGGGCTTATACCTGCTGAAAGAGGAAGGTCCTGGGTTCTTAGAAAACAGCAGGAAGGAAGGAGGACAGAGAAGAGGCCAAATTTTTGGAGCTCCAGCCTCTCTTGAGCAACTTAAAATAGTCTCCATTTTGACCTGATTTAACTAAGTGTGTCATAGGCTGAAAGGTGTAGGGGAGAAAGCAGTTAGTTAAAATGTCTTTGAAAACCACAGAGACACTTCATGAGGAACCAGCCACATCAATGTGGACTTTTAGGTCATGGAAGAGCTTCCATTTCCTGAGGATTTTCTGATCATGCTCAGATAACAGGCTACTGGTGGTGGAATTCAAGTAGCACTGGCTAAGGTGGACATACAACCTAATGCCTCCCTGCCAAGTTAGTGCAGTCACTGAGGAGATGAGCAAAGCAAGCATGTCAGAGAATTAACTCAGTCACTGACTTTGAGAAGTAAAGTATGACTTCCTCCTTCAGGTTAAGAAACTGGAGAGTGCCACTTGTTTCAATAAATGAATATTTTCAACCCATTTTAATTTTGGAGACTTTAAACTAAGTGAGATCATGTGTGAAACTCTCCTGTGTCCCTTCTATTGAGACAACAATTTAGGCATTGATTTGACACTTAAAAGTTCCTGTATTTAAAACAGAAACAGTAAACCCTCTGATCAAACAAAGTTAGGATGAAAAATACTGCTGGAACACACTGGGGGTGTAGACAAGTAATATTAGAAGGGGAATTGCAGAATGGAGTTGAGAAATGGGCTCACAGAGTGGGCATTATGTGAGATGTTTCTCCAAAAGTATAGTGATTAGCAATCTATTAGTATTTCTTAAAAAATGTCCCTTCCTTATTGGAAAAAATAATACCCAAAACCTACCACAGTAATACTCAATACCCTCCCTTCAATTTGGAATTTCAATCATTCTTAATTTTTCAGAGTTTCTCCATCTCTAAAAACAAAATAAGAGCTGTATCTCAAAGTTCCTTCAGCCTCTATGCGCTGACTTTGCCCATTATATAAATTCAGAAAGATTAGGAGAAATGTGCCTGTTGTCATTCACACAGGCTCTGTAAGAGATGGAGTTAAAAGAGTTCTGCGGTTGCATTCAAGCGGCCTGGGCTCAGCGTGCAGCTCCATCTGTGACTGGATGAACTCGGTGGGCCCATCTATTAAACTGGCATGATGCCTGCTGCTTTGCCTCTCCTCTCAAGGAAGTTCCCTGAATCAAAAAGGTAGAAATGGTTTGGCAGAAAAGAAAAATAGAGGAAAATAACAATGATCAATATTCCTGCAAACCATTATTAAGTATCTTTTTCTTATGGAAAAGGCCTTTTGTGCTCTTAAAATGACACCTGGTTAATATAATTTATTCTTTAAATTAGCCATAAAGAACCTTAAGGTAGTAATGAATGTTTTTAAATCGCTATAAAAACCAGCGCCCCAAAATTACCATGAAAGTATGTGAGCACATTCTAAACATATTTCTTCATGTGACTATGCATGGGTAGGATGATGAATAGGTGGCTTAATAGATATAAGTGGGAAATAAAAACATATATAAAGAGTCTGCCATAGTATAGATGCTGTTTCAAATGCACGTGACACATTAAGTGTCCATCTTAAATTTAATAGGTGACAAGAACCAAACACAACTGAAGACTGGTTCTTCCTATCTTCATATATTTCCTCACGAGAATTATTCTCATTAAAAAGATAAGTTTATGAAAAACATGAATGAGTCCTTCAAATACCTTTAAGCAATTTGTTTCAATTTAGGAATTTCTTCTGACTTTCTGACTCAAAAAGTAAAGACATTATTTTTTTCTGTTATATTGAGATTATTACATTGTTCAACTTCATAATATTAAGATACAAGTATGTAAATCATAATTCTTATAATAAGTTAGCTATTTACTAGCTCTACAATTAAATAGGGTCAAGATTAAGACCAACTCCTTTATTGTTATTTCTATTAATTTTGAATAATGTCTTAATTGAGCAGATTTCACTTTCAAGCAATTTTTTTTCAAAAGATACTATTAGCATTGTTTCCATAGTTATTTAGAATTTGAAAGTTTTTTCCCTTTACTTTTCTATTTGAAGAACATGTTGACAGAATGTATGGTTTTATGTCACTGTTTTTATCCCCTGATAACTTTTTAGATCTTGCCATGATAACTGGTAGCATTGTTTATTGAATGTTCCTATGAAGATCTCTAAGGCTGGTCTGACATTCTTTTTTTTTTTTAAGATTTATTTATGCATACAGAACTGGGGTACAGGCCAGAGGTGCAGGGGTGATGAGAGGATTCACCAGAGACATAGTAGGGAGCAGAACAGGCAGATTAATGAAGTGCATTGCTGAGGGGAGTAGCAGGCAGGTCAGGAGAAGTCTGCTGGGCCATGTGGATCACTTCCTGCGGTGGGAATCTAACTCACGCTGAAGTGGCTTTAGCTTCTTAGTGCTGTTCTTTAACCTGCTGCACCACCAGGGAGGGCCCTGACATTCTATTCTTGAAGGTGATTTCCATTTTCTCCCTGAATACCTGGAGTTTTTCTTCAAGAGTTTTAACCTTAAAAACCCTAACAGGGATGTGTCTTGTTTGCACTCTTAATAAAAAATTCCTGCTATTTTAATCTAGGTAATCCCTTTTTCTCTTTATTTCTTGGAAATTATCTTCTAAGTATATCATTTCCATCTCTTGTGTAAGTATTCAGGGATACCATTTTTCCTTATGTTTAGATAATTTGTCTTCCATATCTGTTAGCATTTCCTTCTTTGTTTTACATAAATTCAGTGTTCTTACCTTATTTTTCCCTCTATTACTAATTCCATTTTTAATAATTTATGTTCTGTTTCTTACAACTTCTAATTCATGTATTAATTCTTCAATGCTAATAACTGGGGCCTCATTTTATTTCCTGAGATCTGAACTCTTTTTCATCTTATTCTTTGGTTTAAGCATGCTTTCAGTATTTTTTTATTGAGTCCATCTCACAAAGTAATTATGAGTTATTTCCTCTCTTCTGTGAATTGTGTTGTTTTTTTTTTTTTTCCCTAGGATGGGTTATTGGTCTGTATTTTACTTCCTTTCTTCCCCTTGCCCTACTAGAAAATATTTTCACAGTGACTATGACATTTCTTTTCATCTTGATTGTTCTACTTAGGCTGATATGTCTTGATTGACGTTTATACTTTCTTCCTACTGTATTTAAGACTTTTTTTCCCTGTGAGAGCTATTGATTTTTCTAAATCCTGAAAGAATGCCAAGGATAGGTGGGGGAAATTCAGGTGATGAAAAGTGCAGTCTTTGTTAAAGACTTTCTCTCTGTTCTGTCAACTCATTCTTAGATGTGGTTAAATATCCTCAACCGATTACCATGCCTGGTAGAGGAGAACTTTCCAGTCCCTTTGGGAACACTCTGGACTCTAGTTCATTACCCTGCAGCAGCCAGGACTTAACCTTGTTGAAAGAGCCAACTTCAGACTTCTCCAGTGTTTCCTGATTCTCACAGGCAGAGATTTCAGCTGTTCTTTGACCAGAATTTATTCTCTACAGAGATGAGGATATTAGGAAGATTGCTGAGGATTTTGTTGATTTGATCTTAAGGCTTTTGACAGAGAGATCAGTAGTCAAATGTTGCCCTTTTTCTCATGCCAAAACTTTGCTTTTTTTTTTTTTACTATCTATTTCATTGAATGTCTTCCTTTCGTTAGTTTATTGACAAGTGGACTTTGTGGGTTTATTTTTTTTTTCATGTTGTGGAGTAGAACACAAATACTGTAGGTAATTTCAACATGCCATGGTAGTCTGAAATATACATTGTTTTTCTTACTATCCATTTGTTGCTAATACCAGATTTTAAAAATCAGATTTCAGTAGTTGCTTATAAAACCACAGAACCATGACTTTAGAGAGAAGCAGAAGAACTAGGTGGGAAGTACTTTTATACTTATCAGAACTGACCACAAATTCCACCTCTGCCCCTCCTTGCAGGGTTTATTGGAGTAATAGGCTGGGGTACCAGCTAGTGAAGATTCATTTTGATCTAGGGTTAGTGTAATCAAACATTCCACTCCTTAATACAAAAGCAGGGAAAAATAGCATAATTATGTGATTTCTGTAATGCTACCTGGTTATTTCTTCTAACCTTTAAAAGCTTCTGTGATCCTTGCCACCCAGCTCGCAAAAGTCCACCCTTTGCCTTTGCTGCAGTGGGTGTGCCTGCCCACCAACAAGTTCTCTGTAATCTAAGGATCACATTGACCCATTATCAGGGCACGTGAGACTCCTGACAGAAGAAGATTAAATGAATGGAAGCTAGGCCGTTATATGATAAATATCCATTACAAAGCAAGAAATGAGACCTACAGATATTTTCTAGTATGATAAGGCTTATTCCTAAAGAACCATCAGTGGTCCTCAGTTGTCTTTCTTTTTCCAAAAGGTACTATTAGTAAGTTTCTAAACAATGAAGTTGTCTGTCCTTCTCTTACTGAGGACTAGAGAAGACCTGGATGTCAGCTGTCAGCATGGAAAGAGTCCTTGCCCCTTACCACAGACTCTTGGGAGAGTCTTGAAGTAAATCCCTCCCTTTGCCCATCCCCAATCTGTTTCTCTGCAGTGACTGGGAAGGGCACTTGCTTCCTTGAAACCCTTCTATGCCATGCCTTTGAACATGCCTCTGTTGGGTCTAGCTCTGATTAACAATACACTGCTGCTCCTGCCTGCCCCTGCCAGGGCTCTGCACCCCCCACTTTCACCATTCCTTCAAAACCCCAGCTGCTTTACTACCCCAGTTTATTATTGTGGGTCCTAGTGCTAGAGTAAAAAACTCTACTCCCATGGCAGAGTCCTCCTAGATCTCTTCCTCTTCACACAACTTCTTAGACCAAAATACACTGTTCGTGTGACAGGCTGTAGTGTCTATAATGCTGTTGGAGGTATGCTGCTGAGGAAGGGGCTTACTCCTTACTCATCTTTCTGAGCCATGGTACACACTCAATAAAGATGTGTTGAAGGAAGGAAAGAAACAGAAAGAAGGATACACTTAAGCAGCTCAGATAAGTCTATGGATGGGCTGATGTGCTTTATTTTTTTTGTTGTGGTTGTTAATTAACCATCGGTGAAAGTAAAGCATATCAATAGTCCTGATGGTAACAGTTCAAACAGTTAATTAGTGCGCTTCCTAGTTAAACCTTGGTTCATACTGACTTAAAAAACAATCTAACATGCAGGTGTACCTTCAAAGAAATTCCTTTTATTTCTTTATGAAAATGTTTACTTGAAAGCTAATTACAAGAAACCAAACTAGTCATAGATTTCACTTTCCCCAGGAAGGAGCATTCCTCCTCCTACAAACACTGGCATCAGATCATACGTTTCTGGGGGTGAAGCGCACTCTCTGACAAGTGCTCAGCTTTGACATCGATCATGCTTACTAATTTTTAAGAATAAATAAATTCTGCAACATTCTCCCTGTATCTGTCTCAGTTTTCTCCCAGCTTCCCTCCAGATCTCCTGCTGCACATAGCCCCAGGGCTGCCCAGGACTGGAAGGCAAATTTGAGGATTTTGAGAACCTCTAAGTCTGAGTGTCCTTATACTCTCCTGGCAAGACTGTCATTGAAAAGAACAATATTTTATTATAAATAAATTAGGAATAATAAAATATAACTCTGAACAATTTGGGGTGGGTATTAAGAGCACAGTTTTCTTTCCACTCATCAAATGTCCTAGCATAATTTACAGTCTGCCCTCCACATCTGCAGATACAAACAACCAACCTCCAGCATGGATGCTAGAATCCATGAATATAGAAACATGGATAGAAAAATATTACATAGAAGTGGACCCTTACAGTTCAAATCCATGTTTCCAATGATCAACTATATGCAATTTTCATATATTTTATTAAATTTCATTCTAGAGAAAGTTATGAATTTAAAATTTTATCACATTAGTTCAAATAAGTATATTCACATTACTCTGACTCATTATGCAATTTAATTAAATAAATGCATGATAAATTAACCAGTTATTATAAATTACTTAAGACACTATATTGAAAATATAGCATTTGAGTATTAATCTTAAATTAAATGAAGTAATGTTGAATTATATAGTAAAAGCACAAGGACTGGCTTAGTCTATTTGATATAGGCTATTTAAGTTGACATGCACCATTTTTCTTATTCACTTATTCATTTGCCCAGACAAATTTATTTAAATGCCAACTCTTGGCAGTTTTCTCTGCTATGTCCCCAGAGCAGAAATAGTTCAACCTTCCCCTGTTTTGGAGATATTCATGTAAGTGTCTGATATTCATGTAAGTGCCTGAGAGCACACCGAGAGGCTCGAGGTTGATTACCCAGCTTGATATAAATTTTACCTGTTGCTACCAGTAACCTAGGCCTCATTGTAACTTGCTTCCCACAGGGGACAAGTGCCTGTCAGACATGCCCTATGATGGCAGCGCCAGCTATGAGAAGGAGAATGAGCTGATGCAGACCCACGTGATGGACCAAGCCATCAACAATGCCATCAGCTACCTGGGGGCAGAGTCCCTGCGCCCCCTGGTGCAGACACCCCCAGGCAGCTCTGAGGTGGTCCCAGTCATCAGTCCCATGTACCAGCTCCACAAGCCCCACCTGGAGGGCCCCCTACGTGCCAACCATTCCGCCCAGGACAGCGCTGTGGAGAATCTGCTGCTGCTCTCCAAAGCTAAGTCAGTGTCTTCTGAAAGGGAGGCTTCCCCCAGCCAAGACTCCACAGACACCGAGAGCAATAACGAAGAGCAGCGGGCTGGCCTCATCTACCTGACCAACCACATCAATCCCAACGCCCGCAATGGCCTGTCCATCAAGGAGGAGCATCCAGCCTATGATGTGCTGAGGGCAGCCTCCGAGAGCTCTCAAGACGCCTTCCGCGTGATTGGCACAAGCGGGGAGCAGATGAAGGTGTACAAGTGCGAACACTGCAGGGTGCTTTTCCTGGACCACGTCATGTACACCATCCACATGGGCTGCCATGGCTTCCGTGATCCTTTCGAGTGCAACATGTGTGGCTACCACAGTCAGGACAGGTATGAATTCTCATCCCACATCACACGGGGGGAGCACCGCTTCCACATGAGCTAAACGCCCCCGCTGCACAGACCAGCCCCCAAAAGCACAATACTGCCCCCACCCATTAGTGGAAATGGACTGGATGAGAGTTTTGTGCTTTAATATCTAGGTGGGTTTGGTGGGTTTTTTTTCTTTTATTTTTTGGATTTTTTGTTTGTTTGTTTTATTTTATTTTAAGCTGTTCAGTTGCCTTGTGATTTGCTTTGTAAAGCAAAGGTTTTTGTTGTTAGATGCAGGGTTACCACTGAGAGCCCAAACTGGGTAACTAAATGTTACCATAGACTGCTAGCTGAAATTCCCCCACTTGTTGTCTCCTAGAATTCCCTTCCTCCAAACAATGTGTCAGTTTCAGAGAGAAGTTAATAAAGACAGGCCAAAGTTTGGGAAAGAATGTGCTGGCTCCTTTCCAAGAAAAGGACTCCTGCACCAGGTGTGATTTCTAAGGCCCTAGCAGCAGTGTGTCACCACCTGAGTTGACATTCAAGTGAGCCAGGCAGGTGAGCTGACCCTGAAGATACCCCCATAGCAGACTTGAACACTGTATCATATTCTTCCTGGCAAGCAAACTGTTGGGGGAAAGTTTTGTAACTATTGGTTACAGGTCCCCTGCAGAAGGAGACAGAATAAATTCTTTTAGATTAATTCCCAATTTCCAAACAGGATGACATTGCTCTGTGTCTCTATGGCTGCACTCGCGGTCAGCCTGGCGTTCCAAGGCTTGCTGTCAGTTGCAGGGAACTCAATATTCCTGTGACCTTATCTGGAAACCACTGCTTCTTCTTTTTTACTTCCACACACTTAATGACACCAAGTCTATCACTACATTGTTAAGACCAGTCCTGAAATTTAGACCATGATTCCTTCTGAATCTTGCAAAACAGTGAAATGTCTCCAAAACCAAAGCTTTAGTCCAAAGTTCACACACAGTTCCCTGGGTACGTTTTTACCCTGACTGGTTCTACCAGAACCCTATTTGTGGGAAGAATTCCCATTCTAGACATCCTTTTAGCCAAGCAGCTGTTTTGTTTGTAGCTTGTAGGCCTGAATAACTTATTGTTGGTAGATTTATTTTCCTATATGTATGTTATTCTTGTTTTAAAATTCATAAAAGGATTCAGAACTTCATTAATTTTCAGATCAATGAAATATGACAAGTGAAGCCCAACAGATGTTGCTAAGGCACAGAGAAATCCACCTGTTTGAAACCAAAAAATCTGAGACTTTCCCTTCTGAGAACAAAGCAATACCCAGGGGCCCACACATGGCTAGTACGAATAGACCTGTACCATTTTTCACTAGGATTGTAGATTCAGGGTAGTTATGTCATTCCTTCTCCCTGTCTCAGGTCTGATAGGTAAAAGATAGGCGGCACTAGAGGTGCCAAACATTTAAGCAGGGAATAACATATCATTTCAAGGGTTTACAACACTTTGCTTTCCCCAACCCATCCCAATGTGAACATAAAGATTCAGAGGGAAAACTGTACATGCACCTCCATATTTAACCTAAATCTGAGGTCTTAGCCTCAAGATATTGACATTTGTGGGAATGGATATTTCCAATTTTCCAAATTTGGGGGCTGGATATTTCCTTGTGGGGGATTTTCCCATACATCCTGAGAGACTTGGCAACACCCCGATCACAAAGCACTAGATGACAGAATGTGCACTAGAAAGTGCCCTGGAAGGTAAATTACACCTGCTGAGAACCTCTGCTTGAATGAATTCTAAACCAGCTGAAGGTCTGCAAAGTCTTCCAGAGATAAAATCACTGGGAAATATCTTTTCAGGTCACAGCTGGACCTTTGTTCTTTTGGAGCCATTTTAGATTTTATAAATGAAGTATTCTCCTCCATTCTTGACAAGTACACTTGTTCCTGTGCGTCCGAGTTTCATTAGAAGGACGGAGTTCACAAAAATACCCTAGCAGCTTGGGGTTTTCTTTGCTTACCGGTAGTGCTGCATTTTGAAACTGGAAATGGCAGTAATTTAGATGTGTGCCCACGGATGCACCAAGTAAAGATGTGTGCCAGGATGCACCAAGTAAAAGTGCTGAGAGAAGCAAGCTGTTGTCAGCTGCCAGTTCAATATGCAGTTAGGGAAGGTGAGACATTGCTTAGATTTCCATTTTGCTGGGCAATTTCACCTGCCCATCCCACACAGTCAGTTGAGTGAAAGGAGTTACTTTCCCCCACAGGAAGTCTTGAAACAAAGCTTTACATAGATTGTAAATAGTAACTAGGAGTTCTTTTCTAAAATGCTTCCCTTTCCTCACCCTGTCTTTGAGGGTCAATATAACTGTCTATTACACATCTTTTTTTGTTGTGGTTTTATAATGTAACACCATTTTCTTTGAAATTATTGTATTTAAAGTAAGTTTTCATAGACTGTCAACCAGTAATTAAATTATATTTGAAAGGCAACCATGTCTGTACCCAAAGCTGTCCATGTTTTTCTTGTAGTGGTAAAGTAGGATTTTGCATGCCCTCTCACACCTTTCTGTTCTGTGGTTTGTTCTCTTGTCTGATGGTATGAGTGTGCGTACTGAAATGTGCCTGCATTTCATACACTCTTGTGTTTAAAATAAATACCAGGAAAGAAGGGTCATGAGTACCAGGTTGATCTGTTGATTATGAGAAATCCCTATTCAGTGTCCCTGCCCCACCCCGCCACCCACTCACCCTCAACAAAGGAGCCCGCCTTCCCCTCCCAAGTCCCTCTGAACATGTACCGTAGAGTGTGGGCTTAGCCTCATTGAGCAGTCCCTTTATTCTTGGTTAGCATTGCTTTATCACCCAAAGGGTAGCTCAGCACCAATCACTTCACATATCAGCATGTTCCACATCCACATAATGAAATCTTAGAATCTCTTTGAGAAAGAGTTACCTGTCACAGAGATGTGTGTTTCGTTTTTGTTTTCTTTCTATTTTTCTAAATTTTTTTCTTGTTTTTTTTTTGATTGCATGGTGACTTTACTGTATTATCCATCTTCTTGCCAACATTAAAGCAAGATGAAATGGACTTATGTGGCCAAGTCATGCAGCAAATATATTCCTTTATCTTTCACTTCTTGAGTTCCAGTGATAATGAAGGGTCAGCTATCCCTAAAATGCAGTTATCTCTCTCATTCAGTTCAATGTGTGTTTTTTACTTTTAAGATGAACCAAAATCAGACTTCTTTAAGATGTACAGGCATCGGGGCGGGGGGGAAAGGAAGCAGCATATATGCTGTCAGTAACTGCATTCACTGTGAATAAGTGTAACCAGATATTAATATGAAATATACTTTCCAGTACTTTCTAATATTTTTTATAATATTGTGTATGATGACTGTTAAGGTCTCACCTGTTGTAGCCAAAGTAGCTTTTAGGTCTTCAGCTGCCATCTGGCAAGTACATTATCAGAATTGCCTCTCTGATAATGTTAAATTATTTCTGTTGAGCTGTGAAGAAGGCGTATGTCCCTGGAAGAATAGAGTCCTTTTGTACACATTTTAAGATGATTCTTCTATAATGATAGAACAAATGAACATAAAAAAAAAAACTCAACAACAAAAAAAGCCTGCCTGCTGTATCCAGTGTCACCCATGCCAATATGTGAAGCTACTCGTGCCAAAGTCCTTTGGTTCTTGATAACAGCGTTGAGCCCTAGGACTTGGTTGCTGGGTGTGGATAAGCTTTCACAACAGACAAAAGCTTCCTTGCAGGTAGAGATTGTTGCAGTCTGAGTTGGCAGTCCTAAGTGCTGGTGCGCATTCTATCTCTGGCACACAGGTTTAATTCTGAAGGCTGACCTCCTCCTGTCCATAATTCTACTGGGCTCTTGGTGCCCAATCTGTCTTTGACCTCAAGGTGTGGGTTTGACAATGGGTGGAAGTTGTGGGTGACAAGAAATACACTCCTGATCTTCCCAGCACACTGCACAATGCCACAAGTCAGGCGTGGTCAAGGAGCAGAGACTGACCCACTGCAGTGACAGCCCCTCACACTGTCACCCTCCACGCCTGCCCATTTAGGTGGGAGCAAACAGGCCACAGAAATGCATACTGCAAACACTCCTCTGTGGAAATCCTCTGTCCTTTGGAGAAATAGCTGGACATCCTGTGGGTTCAGAGCTAGTGAGTACGGTAAGTGACCATTTGATCACAACATTTAAAGCAACATTTTTATAACCTTTGATCCAAATGAGGTAAAACTCTTAATAGATCAGCATCAACTCACCATACAGCTTCACATAGGCGTGGCTTGAGCTCTCACCGACTTTCTCACGGTATCATTTTCCAAGACAGCATCTTTGGAAGTGTTCAGACACATTGAAAGAATATGTCACTTAGATAAATATGATGATACACCACCCATCTAAAATTGGGCTACCATGCCACAGCTATGCTTTGTTAAGACTTCAAAATGATCATAGATTTAATGAGTCAAAGATAGATGCATGTCTAGAAATACCCTAGGCTCAGCCTCAAAAAAAAGGGATGACTGGAAAATGCTGACTAGGAAGGATGGAGGTTTGAGGGTGAGACAGGAACACTCTTAACTCTCTTATGAAGCTTCATAAATATGTTGAAGCAATCATGAGCAATTCCTACATGCTTCCCCAACTTGTGCCCAAACCCTTTGTTTCTTGATAGAAGCGTTGCCCCACGACTGGGTAGGTAAGGGAGGATAAGCTTTCAAAGTCACCCTTGGACAATAAACTTTGTATCTCCATTTTTACTACCTTTTTTAAAGTTGTCATAGGAAGGATTATTCTCAGCTTCACCTTCTAATGCCGTGAGTTATTAGTGTCCCTTGCCTTTGTCTGGTCCCCTGCACATGCTCAGTGAGTCTGTGATGCATTCACCTAATGTGTCCAGATGGACAAGGCCCATTTGGGGAGACAGGCTGAGAAGGGCAACCCTTCACAAGGTAACGGTGAAGACTGGCACCAGTCACATCCACACCTGAGAGAGAGAGTCAGCAAGGTCACCCTGGTCGATCTCAGGACAGTACATATTTCATGTGGGACCAGAAAGGTGAATAAGTCAGTAGCAGGCACAGAGGACCCAGAAGTAGTTGCATGGAAGTGCCATTGCCCATACCTGGAGCAGCGCCCCAAGGCCGCTGGGACCATCTGCCTCTGATATTTCCGCAGGAGTAGTCCTGAGATCTCCTGACTTGTTTCATCATTAAAGCTGGAAAAAGTTCTTGTGATGTTCGCAACCATCCTGTAAGTGCTGTGAATTCAGAAGTCAAACTAGATTTCAAGTGTTGGTGTGAAATTTGGGGCATCAAAATCAGGATTGGGAGTTCAAAAGTTCCTTACCCAGTTCAGTCACTCTTATTTTCTATTGACATCAAATATCTTGGAGTTGTGGGGACTACGTGGTGAAGCCTTTTTTGCATTCTCATTGAAAACATGGTTTTCAAGGAAAAATTCCTTTGATGGTTTCCAAAAAGTCATTTTTGTTTGTTGGTGTTTTAATGGCCTCTCAACTTCAGACAATAAACTAGGCACAAGAAATTGAGCAATAATTAAGAGACTCAAAGGAAGCTCTTAGACAACTAATACAAGAACTTTGTGCTCCTCCAAGTTCAGGTTCACTGACCTTCTAGCCCATCTCAGTACCCAGACGCTGACACCCAGAGGCCACAGGCAGGAGTGCAGCTGAAGTGCTACTGTTGCCTCCACTGCACAAGTCTTGTCTGCTTTGGTCCAACCTCCCCCTCTCACTCCCCCTCCCCCTAACTAGTAGAAGAAGAAAGGTGAGAAGCAGCTTCCAAGCCAGTGGTGGGGCTCATGGCCTTGGATGCTAAAAGGTGGAGTTTTCCAGACTCCACCCTGACTCCCTGAAAGGTCTGCTGGGAACCAGGGGCAGAGCAGAGCTACAGGCTGGTGCTGAAGACTGAATAGGCAGTAGCTCTCTTTTTGTTTCTGCTTGCAGCTGGCTTCTCTCAGCTGACACTGTCTGCTGGTTCGACAGACCGCATCTTGCCTCGTGCAGGGCCACACATTTTCTTCTCTCTCTCAGTGCTCCTTTTTCTCACTCCCAGTGTAAATCTGCTTTTTGGATTTGTAATCTTACACACCTGGGTGAGGACTGCCCACCCAGGTTTCCCTTGTAGCAATACCGCTTACTGCCCTCTCCTGCGATAGCCTAATTTTCCAGTCCCAGCTCTCAGCTGCCCAGAGACTCTCCCAACACACTCCAGCCTTCTCTGCATGCCAGTGCTTCCAGGGACCCCTCAGAAGGGTCTCAAACACAGCTTAGAATCATCCAGATAGTTGTTAAAATTCAGCTTCCATAGACTCAAGCCTGGTAATTCTGCGACCTGTGCTCTCCGTGGTGTCCTCCTCCCAGGTAAAGGACAAGCTCCCCCAGGTCAGATTCAGCTGACCCCTGTCCAATTCCTCCTCCAGACCATAGACTCTAATTGTCTGCCAGTCCATATGCCTCTTTAATTTTTAGAAGGGAAGAACAATTAATGATGTCCTTTTCTTCCCTCTTATGTTTAAAACAACTCAGATATGGGGGGGCGGGGTTGATCACAGAGTAGGAAACAAAATACTAGTTGTAATACCTAGAAAATCTCAATTAAATGCCACAACTTCAGTGTGTGACCACAGCCGACCTGCAAACCCTTATCCTGAGTTAGGCAGACTTGCTCACCTTGATGCAGACAACTGCTAGATGAGGGATTACAGAGTTTACACCGTGTAAGCATACCCCCAAGAACAGAAGAAGTTCCTGCATCCAGAAGAGTTTGCATAGACAGGTAAGCAGGTGATGGGGTCACTGGTTGTATAAAAAGAAAGCGGTAACTTGAGAGCCTGGACCCAGCAGAGCAACAAGATTTTTTCATGCACAGGGTATTGATAATGGAGAGAAATCACAACACAAGGAAAGAAGAGGGAAGAGGATTTGAATCTCCACTAGAATATAATCTCCACGAGTAGGATATTTAGTTTCAATTTATGGTAATATCTGCATGGCAGAAGAATACCTAGAACCTACTAGGTACCAACTCCCCCAGCTATGGTCATCAAGTTTGTGTCACCTCCGCGTTCATACGCAGACAACCTAATTCCCAGAATGATGGTGTTAGGATCTGGGTTCTCTGGAAGGCAGAGAGGGGCCTCATGATGGGATTAGTGTCCTTATAAAGGAGACTCTACAGAGACCCTTCCACCCTGCACCATCTTTGGACACAGGGAGATGTGACCTGAAGGAGAGCCCTCGCCCTAACCTGATCTCGACTTGCAGCTGCCAGAACTATGAGGGAAAAAAATTCTGCTATTTATAAACTTCTGGGCCTCTCGTATTATGTGAGAGCAGCCTGAATGGACTGAGACAGTGCTCAGTAAATGTTACATAATCACCTACTTGAGATGATGATCTTAGATTACACATAACTTGGCGAGATGACCCAACTCGCAAATGCTGTATGAACAATTAACAGCAAAGGGGAGTGTGGCCGCAGACTGAAGAATGGAGTTAGTTTTCCTTAATTTTAAGTAGCTGAATGAGGAGAACAGGTAACTCTCTTTATAGAGAGTTGGTATACTTGAGAGCCATGTCACATGAATCATCGT